TTTTTTTTTTTTTTTCCCATCTCTGTAGGTGAGATCATGTAGGACAGAGGCAAAAGGGGGGAAGGGGAGTGTGGAGACAGGTGAAGATTTTGATCCAATACCATTTTAAAAAGGCGTACTCTGATGAGCGGTAAAACAATAGAAAGCACATGTACATAAGTGTGAATATTGTGCAAAATTGTGTATTTTTCTTTGCGTCTGGAGAGGGTCGAGCGGACTGAGTGCGCTGGCGTATGCGTATCGCTCAGCTCGCCATTAATTCATGTCGTAATTTATTTTGCCAGCTGGAGCAACACCTTCCATGCCTCGTGTATGCAGCTATATCTCTGCGAAAAGGGATATGGCAGATATCCCTGTGGCTGAGTACACAAACACGTCATTTATGTTTTTAACACTGCTTTACGAACCCTTCAAGATTCCAAACTTCATCAACGCAACCACCTCCCGCTCCTCACGCTCTAATAATTATTTCTACAAATAATTGAACGATCAATGATGCTCCAAAAGGCCCCTTGATCGGTTTGCGCTGAAGGAACAGAAATGTGTCGTCATTTGTAACAAGAATGCTCGACGTAAGTGTTCGGACGGATGCCCGGACAGGAGGACTTGTATTGTCAACTCCCTCACTACCTCAGCTATATTCCACCCTTTTCCTTCACGGTCACAGAAAGCTCAACCTTCCCTAACGGAGAATCGCCCCGCAGCCGTGGCATTTTAAAAGTGTGGTGACATTGCTATTGTTGCATATATTTACCTGATTCATAGTTATGATGTCGTACATTGGCAGCCGGGCGCAGACAAGCAGAAGGCTTTTAGGATGCCAAGTTTGGAAAAATTGCCCAGAAAGTGTATTAACGCAACGGCAACAGCAGCATATGCATCTAGCACGGGTTTTCTCAGCCTTTGCGCGGAGAAACAAGCTGCACGTCTGCTCCCCGAGGTCCACCCTGTCGTACCTCCGGGCTCCGCCCCCTCGACTGCCACGTCCTCCCTCTCGACCGCCCTCCGCGCCCCTCTCTCACTCTTCGGCCTCATCGACTCCGGTAGGGAAGCCAGTCGCTCTGCTATGCATTTGATGCCTGAATTCCCACCATTTGCCTCCCCTCATCACCCCCACAGCCTCTCCCTCTTGAGACGCTGCTATCCACGCTACCCCGACCTCCATCATCGTTTCTGCCAGAAATTCAGGAGCACCTCCGGCAATCGACGCGGGGTGGCAGACGCAGAAAGCTGGTGGTTGTCGATGGTAAGCGAATCTGCACCCCGACTGTCGCGAGGAAGAAGGGCCTGTCGACGCTGATTGAGTAGCAAGAACAGGGGCTACACGCGACCCCCATGCCTCATGAACAAAATGTGACATAACGGTCCCATCCCAATCGCGCGTCTTCTCCTTCCTTCTTCACAGATGATCCCACCGGCACGCAGAGCGTGCAAGGCTTTCCTGTGCTGTCGGAATGGACCGCGGAGGCTCTCGCTCGGGAGATCGAGGATGATAGCACCCCAGGATTCTTTCTCCTTTCGAACATCCGGTGTGCAAGGCCGTGCTGGAGGGGAAGATGGGCTGTAGGGAGGGGAAGGATGGAAGTGATACGCTTTCCTTCAGGAAAATATCTCAATGGTCTCACATCTCGTCCTTTGGGCTCTTTCCCTGTAGGGCTTTGTCAGCAAGAGACGCCGAGCACGTCTTGCGGGAGATTCGGACGGGCCTCGACGCCGCGCTCAAGGTACCCATCCTCTTGCCCGTTTCGTGTACTAGTCTTGGTTCAGATTCCTCAAAGACTCCCTTTTACCTACTCCTGCTCCCTGTTCGACCCTCTCCTGTGCTTTTTCCTCCTCTTTGGCAACTCGCACGCTCGCTCCTGCTTCTTTTCCTGGTTGTCTGCTCTTCGACTTCTTGTGTTTACGATTCCTGCTCTTCTGAGATCCTCTTCTTGTGCTGCACTGTTTTTGCTCCTTCTACCGCATCTATCTTTGGCTGTTCATCCGTACTTCACGAGTGCCAGCTGACTCGCCCATGCTACGTATGTCTCGGAGGAATTTGACCACTCTCTGACTCGATCATCCACATGCAGCGGCTGAATCGCTCTGAAGACTCGGTAACAATCATTTCTCGCTCGGACTCGACCTTGCGTGGTACGTGGCGTTCTCCCTCTTCTCACTTCTGACTGTCCAAGAGAGAACATGGTTGCCATCCATCCATGACTTCTTTCCCTCTCACCCCTTTTCCCCTTTCCTTGTCCGATCGCCCTTCCCCTTCCCTCCGGGCCCGAACAGGACATTTTCCTTTGGACGTCGAGGTCCTTTGTCCGCATCCTCCCCTCGATAAAGAAGGGACTGGATCGCAAGGAAGGATGCTTTGCGGAGGAACCAGTGTCTTGACGCTGGTGGCACCCTTTTTCCAGGCAGGGGGTCGGATGACGGTATGCCACGCTTTCCATCCTCAGGTCTTTGTCCCGTATTTGCTGTCGCCGTCCTCCACGAGCCGATGAATTTTGTACCCTGAAGCCATGCCCTCTTCTCCCTGTCCTTCCTCTTTTCTGAGTAGATCAACGACGTGCATTACATGACCACCTCCCCTGCCTCCGTCCTTCCCGTGCACCTGACGCCGTTTGCGCAGGACAAGGCCTTTGGGTTCTCCACCTCGAACCTGAAGGATTGGGTAGGTCCAATCAGACAGCTCTCTCACTTCTATCTCTACCTCCCTTCCTCCCTCCCTCCCCCCCCTCCCTCCCACGTATTCCCCTACCTATCTGCCTCTTTCTTGTTATTACGTCCAAATTTGGGCGTGACATGAAATGCACTTTGATTTTTAAGAATCGCAACCACAAAAGGACATTTGAAGGGAAAAGTGAAGGACATTGAGTAAGAGTAAAGGACCATGAAAAAGAGGACAACATGCTGTTATAATCTTATGACTCCTCGTAGGTCGCACAGAAGCTTGGAGGAGGCGTGAAGGCCGAAGACGTGGCTAGTATCACCCTAGACGACATCCGGTGCGTGTCAGTCTCTTAAGTTTTTTAAGTCAATCGTCGCGAAACTCACTCTCTCCTCCACCGGCTCTATTCTCTCTTTTCAAAATCTAGCCGCGGTGGTCCCACCGGCGTCCGCGATAAGCTTCTTAGCCTTGCCAGAAGCAACACCACCAGTCTGGGCACGTATGTGGTGGTCAATGCCGTGACGAGGGAGGACTTAGAATGCGTAGTACTGGGTAGCCTCCAGGCAGAAGACGCAGGACTGGAGGGGTCGACGGAGGGCGAGCCCGGGATCCGGATGGTGTGAGTGAACGAATGGGAGGGATGGATACGACATTCCTGCTGCATTTCGGCGTCAGCTGTTTACAATATCCTTAGTAATCTGCATACTGATTAACTTTGTGGGAAAATGTGATCTGGTTTATCATTGATTCCCGACATCTCCTTGCCTTTCGAAGACTGAACCATCATCCTGACCATGTCTTCTTTTTGGGGTCCCTCCTCCCTCTGTTCTCCCAAGCTATCGCACAGCTGCAGACTGGGTCGCCGTTCGCGCCGGACTTTCTCCTCTGCCTCCCCTGCCAGCCTCCGCTCTCCGCCCTCCTCCCGATCTTCCTTCCCATGTCCCCTCCGCCGAGGGAGGCCTGATAGTGGTAGGCTCTTATGTACCCAAATCGTCGGAGCAACTCTCTTTCCTCCTGGAAAAC